TGAGTGTTAAAGACAGAGGGAGATTTTAAACATACAGTGTTTAATCACACAAAGGGTAGGGATTGAAGAAGAATACAAACAGTACTTAACCACACGAGGGCAGGTTCAATGAGCTGAGGGTGAAGTCCTGAGAATGGGTGTATTTATAGTCAGAAACATGGAATCAGTTCTCAGATCTACCCCCCTGCCATGTCCCAGCATCATTTCAGGTGACTTACACGAATCCTTACAGCTACAGGTATTACAGCCCAGGTACCAGGCTTTGGGAAGGCCAAGTCTGTAGCTATTTAAATAAAAAGATCCTGGCAGATCAGTGCCATGAAGTCTTCAGTTATTGTTACATATTTTAGGCAAAAATAATTTCTTAGAAATTTTGGCGATTCTACATAATAATACAAATTGCTTCAACTTGAGAGCTGCCAAGCTGAAAGCCAAGTGAACTTTCTTCTTTCTGTACAGCCAAATAAGGCCAACAAGAATGTTAAATCAGCAGTGGTTAAAGTTGTGTACATGGGTTTTAACCTGACTAAACTTTTTGATTTAAAAGACGTGTAAGGACTGTTTTAAGCTATAGGTCATGATGTTCATCCAGCATACAGCAACTATTCTAAACATGTTGGTGAATCATTTACTGTGGCTGTTTTTAAAATGGGAAAGACATTTCATTCTCTCAATTTTATGTATTACTGGTGTGAAGCACCTTGTGTTTCCATCAAGCTGGCCAAGTGAAAAAAAAAAAGTATTTTAATGCACATTAGCTGCCAGAAGAGGATCCTGAAATGGATTTTCATGAACAAGAAGGCAGAGATTTGCAAAAGAAAGTCCCTTTCTTGGAAGTACTAATATTCCAAAGTTTTAATAGTGGAAAAATAAACTAAAGTACAGAAATAGAAGGAGGAAATGCATACTGTAAATTCATCCTCATAACCATGACATGTTTCATCCTGGGAAGAATGTGATAGTCAATTTTTACTTCATCATTGCAGTGATTTTAAATTTCTTTTTGGTATTGATGCATTTTGGGACAGATTTTTGATTGATATACTTACATATACTGAAGTCTTGTTATAACAGAGGTTAGAGCTATGCTACCCTTATGGTACCAGACACAGTGAATAATTATTACTTTTTCTTAGGTGATAATCCTTTTCCAGTCAACAAATAATGGTATGGCTGGTGATCAGTAGCAGTGCTTTTTAAAAACTGTAGTGTAAATATATATTCAGTCATTCAGTAACCACATTTTCTCAGATAACCTAAAACCAGTTCAGTTTGTATTTACAATACATGACAGATTACAGCATAATTGCATAAACCTGCTATAAATAATACACATGCCATCTTCTGCAAACAATAATTAGCATTTACCTAGAATCAAATCCTACTTTTGATCAGGAAGACTGGAAAATGCCTAACTTAACAAACACAAAATTATGTCAAAAACATCCTTGATGGCATTCAAGCAAATAAAACCAACTAACTAGCAAGAGAGGAATGGAGAAATGGTCAAAACTGAAGGTCAAGTAGGAGATCCCTGTCCAGTTCAAGAGTTTGAGTGATTTTTCGAAATAGGCAGGAATGACAAAACATTCTGTTCCATCAGAATCTGAATCAAGTTTGAATAAAGAAAGACATTGTAACACTGAGATACACTAAAATAGATTGGTTTACTTACGTGCACAGGATAGACTGGTCTTCTCGATCTGTAAATAAAGAGAAATAATCCATTAATTAGGGAAAATGGCTTTTCTGACAGGAGCACTTATGTTTATAAGGATTTACATCGAACAGCCTAGACCTAAAATGTGGCTGACCACAATTAGTCAAAAGTACTGGGTTAACATCTTATTTAATTTGCCCTTGCATTTAAATAACCATCTCTAATGGAAATATTTTGCACAAAAAATGAACAAAAGGTTAAGAGGTCAAAAAAAATTTTTGTAAATTCCATTAGAGATGAACTGTAATGAGGACAGCAAAACATCAGGCTCTCTATAAGAAGATTATAACAAAATTTCAAACCTGAAACTCAAGCTTTTACTATGCTTATGAATTATGGCTAGCAGCTGACTTGAAACAAAATCTGGACAGATAAGGCATGAACGACTAAAATGTTTTAAGCCTGTCATGCAAAGCTTTGAATTTTGAAAGCAGAGAAGTTCAAATACCTGAATAATATACTCTCTATTTCATTTCAGACTGAGAGACAATTTTTATCAGGAGGACAAGTAATTTCTTTGAGATATCCTCCAAAATATAAGATAAAACAAGATACTTCATAGATTTTACAAGGTCATTTCAACAAGCACATAAGTATTCTTCATGCTTTTTACTATGAACAGGACCATCAAACACATTTTGGGTCCTTATGAAAAGGAGGACCAAAGTCTCCATTTCCACTATGTGAGGCATGTAGAAGGTTTCTGCACACCAGAGTCCAGTGGGCTGTAATGCTGCAGGAAGGTTTAGGATTACATCCTACCTCCACAACCTGCTCTTGGAGCAATTCTCTCTGCTTATCCTTTTGGAGCTGGAGTTTCTGTCTACCTTCAGAACTTTTACACTGAATTCTGTACCAAAAAGCAGGACTAACATGGTTGCTGTGATCCATTCTGAAGTAGAATAATTTTTTTCACTTGTCAAACATCAGGACAAGTTTCCCAGAGAGGTGTGGTATCTCCACCCTTGGGGCTGCTTGGAAGTAGACTTGAACAAGGCTCTGAGCAACCAGCCCCAGTGCTGAAGTTGGCCCTTCTTTGGCTGAGACTGTCACACTCTGCCTCTACAGACTGTAGAAAGATCTTCTGACTTAGGAAAATAAACTCCCAGGCAGGTCAAATACGTTTTTGAAAAGTGTGTGTAGCTACAAATCTGAGGCTTGAGACAGATAATTAAGGCTGAAGCCAGTTACTTCTGTATGGTTTGGCATTATCTATCAAATGCAGAGCCAGCGTTAGCCCAGTGGAGCCTCTGGTCAGAGGTTATAGACATGAACTCCTTCCTCCTTTTGTTCAGTGTGTGGGGTGACTTGCAGGACTACCTGTCTGGTTGCTTCCCCTGTGGCTGACCCTGTATGTCATAAATACCATGAGATAAACTTATTAAGCTTGCAAGCTGCAAGTGCTGCCTGGCCCACAGCCAGCCTTGGAAAAGCTGTAGAGGATTCTGCTCTGGCTTGGATTGATATGAAACAACTGTTTTACTCCCAGTTCCTCAACAGCTCTAACATTAACTGCTTTATTGATCATGCACACAACAAATGGTGCCACTTAGCTGCTTTATTCGGTAAAATTGGTACAAAATTACTCATTACACTTCTGTTGGAGATATTTGTCAGCAATCAGCACAGCTGGACTCTTCCACATAAACATTTGGGAGGAGAAGAGCTGTGTTTGTTGTATGTTTGTTTTTCGCTGCAGGATATGAACTAGGCTTTCTTTTAAGTTAAAAAAAGTGAGAACACAGTAGAATTTTCGCTAAAAATACACTGTTGTGTAAATAGAAACCATGGGCATATATTGTTATTGCATCACAAAGTCATAAATATCATAAAGAAAATAAAAGTGATTCCTTGACACAGAGTTGCCAGGAATTTCTGAGCTCAGGGGATGTTAGAAAAAGTTGGTCCCCTCTAAGCCAAGTATTTTCTCACTACTCTTTGCTGCCCATTGCTGCCCTTCTTTTGCTTCCCAGTAAGTGAATCCCCTGCTGGAGGTGTCATAAACTGGCCCACCACAGGGGGCTACATGAGCGTGTGTGGGGGGGTAGCTTTGGGACATGTAAGAGCAGAAGGTTTGGGAAGGTCAGAAGTTGCACCAAATGCCCTCTGGGACAGGTTAATCATGGGAGAAACCTCCTGCTGACAAACTGTTCTGTACACACTCGTGGAGAGAGAATTCCAGATGTTCTTGTATCTCCTTCAACAGTTCTAACTAATTGCAATGCTTAGGATGAAATGTATCAGGAAAACTAATCCTCTTCTTTAATGACTTGAGCTGCAGATACTGGTCTCTTTTACTTTCAAAGGCTCTCCCATTTGATTAGTCCTATTCCTGCTCTGGAATATTTTATTCTATATATAGAAAGGTCTGTGCCCTATTTTGTGAATCTGCAACTTTATGTGGTTAGATCTACCAGAAGAGAAGGACTTGCATAAATAAAACTCCTTAGACATAATTCCTGGGGCTTAAAAAGTAACAAAACACTTTCTAGATTTTAATCTTTTTGGTTAATGCCTCTTAAGAAAATTTGACACCACCTGGAAGAGTATCATATCCACCTTCTGTATGTCTATATTAGATGTGTCAGACATTTTCTTATTTTCTTCTCAATTATTAATAGCATAGATATCTACATTTACATTATAAACCTCAGCATCTTTCCTAAACATGAAGCAGACTTTTTTTTTCTTTCTGGAATCTGCTTAGCTTTTTCACCAAACACCTCCAGATAGAATCCTTGTAAGAATCCTTGCCCTCTATTCTTGATAGACCAGTTAGCTCTGCTTAATCACCAACAAAATCAGATGGTTTATCACAATGAAGCAGCAAGTTGGCAGCTTTACCATAAAAGGAAAAAAACCAGACTGAACCCATGTTCCACCACTCACTTACTGCTCCTTTACATTTGTTAATAACTCCACTGCCTAAAGGGGACATTTCTGTACAGTCCTGCTAAGGACACAGTAAACAGATGGCTTTTCACAGCAGCCTCCTTTTCTAAGATCTTGGGAACTGTGTTTCCCTCCCATACCTCCAAATAACTACCAGGTTGTTTGTTTTTCCATCTTTAACTCAAGCTTGCATAAAAATGGCTCTGCAGAAAATAATCTTCTTGGATCTGCAGAAAGCTCTAATATATCTTCTCCATGATGATTTATTGCCAGAGAACTTAATAAAAGACTAATCAACTGCATGAAAACTTTATATCTGTTAGTACTGCTGCATAACCTGACTTTTCATGTTGATATTGTCTATCATTTTTTGTTTTCTGCATGCAGGGAAGATGACAGAAGGCAGCAGAGTTACTCCTCCCACTGGGGAGCTACTTCATCCAAAACACAGGAGAGAGAGGTGGGTGCAGGAGCACTGGGTAATGTTTTATGACTGCAGTCTCTAAGTGTAGCAGTACTCAGCTAAGCTTGTCTGTAAAGACAGTCACTGGGGCCCAGTTCAGTGTGGTAATTCCTGGGGACACACACACAAAATACTCTTTGCAGAATGTTATATTCACTTAATCTTTAAGAACATTAAAGTTTATTCTTGTTCTGGCTGGAAAGGAGCCCCAGTGGCTGTGCCTGGGCAATGATCATACTGCATTAGTGACATGGTAATCAGTAGATTCAAGACATCCAGTACCCTCAGCTGAGCATGAGACAGCATGACTGTGATTTGTAAAAGGGTTTTAGGTGCTCAGAACCACTTGAAACAAGTGGAAATTTTATCTTTGCCCAGCCAACATCTTTGATAATTCCTGTGTCCTGTGAGATGTCAGCTTTTCTGCATATTTGGAAGAAAGTCAGATTATCTGATTGCTGGTAACCATGGCTAAGTGTTTTTATCAGAACAACTTTGATGGGACTTTGGCATCATCCCTAATGAATACATTAACCAAGTGAGTCTCTGAAGCACAAGAGGAATGCAGTGTGCACAGCTCATGTTTTTTGCTGGATGTTTGTGCCAACAGAGGAGAGGGTGAGAATGTGAAGGGCTGTGATTCCCAGATGATGAGCCTGCAGTAGGAGGCAATCTGCAGTCATGGAGGCTTGATTCACCAAAAGATAAAGGTTCCCCAAGACATCTGAACAGGCTGATTGCTCTGGGCCAAGTGGCCTTGGCCATGAAGTACCAGAATATAATTCTTCAGTCGCATGAATCTAAGACATATTTTATTTTGGCAAACAGAAACTATGCAAGTTTCCAGATAAGGAGCAGTACTGAATTCTCACAAGGAAAACATTTAGTGCCCTGATCCATGTTTATGAGTAAGGACTTTTGTTTATATTCCATTTGCAAATATGCCTACAAACCCCCCTGAAGCTGTCTGTGCCTGTCCATGTTTCGTGCACACACAGAATCACGGTGACGCCCCCTTTCACCACTCCAGGGTGAATATAATTTGGCTGAATAACTGGAGTTATTCTGAGGTTTGGGTTAGTTTTATGCACAAAGCATGAGTAGGTTTTTTTACAAACAAAAGCACAGCTTTAAAACCAACTGGGGCCCTCTTCAGAGATGGAAAGGCTCCAAAATGGCATGTGCAAGTAAAGCGTGGGTGTCCTCTGCTTGTGATGGGAGCTCTTGTGGGACTGCTCTGGCTGCAGTGCCAGCTGTGCGTGGTCAGGATGGGAGGTGGTGGAAGAGCAGTCTTTTCAAGGTTAACTGATCATTTATTCCTTCCTCCTTTCTTTCTGCTTGCTCTCCCCCTCTTCTCTGCTCTCAGGAAGAATTCCTTGCAAAGGGGGCACATGAATAATGGGGAGTAAAGCCAGTAGTGCCAGGAAATTATCTTAAGCACAAAAAAAGTGAATAGATAGAAACATGCACTCTTCCTATTTCCACTGTCCTGCACTCAGCCTAGGAGGCACAGCTGAACCCAGGCTGTTCTAGGTGCAGTTAATGGCCATAGCACAGGGCAAGGCAGCTCCAGTGGCTGCTCGGGAGAGCATGTTAGAGGGACAGGAGACAGGGAGAGGAAGAGTGAATGTTCTTGTGCTGCTGGGTTGATCTATGCTGACACTAGTTTCATGTTAGGCAGAAAACTCATGCACTGGCAGGCCAAAACAACTCTGTTTAGCATAGGCTGTATTAGGTTTTTTCTTTTTCATTTCCTACAGAAATTTTGTAGCCCTTCCCCAGCTGTTTTTCCCCCTCCCATTTCTAGGGACAAGTTGCAGCAGCCTGCACAGCTGAATGAGAACACTGCTGATGATCTGTAGGAGCCAGAAGCTGCTTGAAGATCTCTCCTCAAGGCTTCCTGCTTAAATAAAGGATCTGAGGAAAGGCTGCCCTGGCTTCAGGGCCTGCTCAGAGCTCTGGCAGTGCTGGATGCAGAGCACAGAGTTCCAGAGGTGACCTGGAGCACAGATCACTGCGGCTTAGCGGGATGAGCTTATGCCAAGTAAGTTTTTTGTAACTGTGATTATATCACACAGTATGTAGGAAGGTCTGTTTTCAGGATATTTTTTGTTGCTTTATTGATCCTCCTCTGCTGCACTGTAGCTCTGCCTTCTGGGATGCACTTAAATAAAGGAATTGAAATAGCTCCAGAAAAGAAATGCCATATAAACCATAGAAAGGAAAAAAGGTTAATATTGTAAAGCAGATACCTGGTTCTCTGGGTCTGGAGTTGAACTAGCTATATTTTAAGGACTCTTATATCTGGAAATGTAAGATTCTGAAGTCAGGAACCTAAGTTATAATAATCTTCAGGAGTTAAATCTTCAGAAGTTCTAAGGATTTTGTTACCTGCATTATTTTGTTAGCATTATGGTTAGTACACGAGAGGATTTTTGTAGGGGAAAAGACTTGTTTTGGTGCCTCTGAAATCAGTCACCTCTAGTGTGTGTATTTATATATGCGTGCGAATAAATAAATAAATATATGTATATATGTATACTCATCTTGTGCTAAATTACAAGGCTTTGGTTGGTATTTTCAGGCAGTAGACGTCTGCATAGGATCAGGCAATTGTACTTGTGAGAATCTGATGGCCTGGCACACACACAGGGGATGATTTTTTTTTCATTGTGGGGAAAGGCTTTGTGTAGTCTAAATCTTGGTTTAGAAAATGGCAGTTCAGTATGATATGCCAAACTAACTGCTTGGAACCTCTAGTAAATTCATCAGGTACACATTTCAAGTGAGATAACTACAGGGGTACTGCAATCCTTGTGATTACAACGTGCTGTGTGCCCAGAGAACTACTGTGTAATTTCATTTGCATAGTCAGATAAAGTGCACAGGGGATTTGAACAGATTAGTTTCTCTGAAACAATTGCTGTTCTGTGTATGTGTATAAATATTACTAAAAAATCAATACTGGCTACTAATCCAGCTGCTAAACTGAAAATTTGAGGTGCTGTTTATTGTTTTCACCAGTCAGATCTAAAACCCTTAAGCCTTAAACCCTTAAATCCTTAAGCTCCAAACCGGGAAGCCCTAAACTTTAGGGCCAAGCCTGTGAATCTTGCTGAGCCATAGTTGGCAGCCAGAATTTCTGCAGGGTCAGGGGCCTTATGAGGACATCTAAATTTCAAAGCATTTTGTGGAGGTCCTGTTTTCCTGCAGCACCCAAAGTCGCTGTGAGATGGCAACAGGTCATGCCCCTGTAGTCTCTAGGTGTTGCATACATTCATCACTATGGCTTTTTCCATCCCTAAATTATGATTTTTCCTTAGTACAAAATCCCCTTGTTCTGTCAGTACTGACTGCAGGAGGAGGAGAGCACTGTGAATTTTGAACTCGTTTGCACCACTTGGGGCCTGACTGCTTTCCCCCTACTCATTGCCATCATCCTCAGAAAACAGAGCACATCTCAGCTCAGGGCTCCAGACATCAGGCTGTAAGGAAAGTAGCCCCAAAACATTACTTGAATTTGCTTTGCTAGAGGGGAGAGAGAGAGAGGATCCAGCAGCACTAGCAGCTAACTTTGGAATAGTCTCCACTGGTGGAGAGGGAGCATTTTCCATGCCCGTATTTGCCAAAACTATTTGCTTGACTTTGAAACCTTCCCACATGCCTCGACACAGATGGGTAAAAGGATTGTTTTTCCTTTTTGAGTCACAGTGTTTGTGGACTGCCGTTCCTGCCAAAGAATTCCTGTGAAACTTCTAGAAAGCCCGTGTGGCCCTCTGTACCAGATCTTTCCCGGCTGTGCCGCCGGCAGGAGCACACGAGGTGTTTTTCCCGTGGGCAGGGGTTCCCAGGCAGTGCAGGGAGGAGGTGCCCTACCTTGCAGCATGCTCCTGTAGGCCGTGTCGGCGATGGCGTAGATGTGAGGGGGCATCTCGTGCCTCTTCTTGCCCTTGTACATGTCGATGATCTTCTCTGAGTAGATGGGCAGCTGTTTGTAGGGGTTTATCACAACGCAGAAGAGACCTGAATAAGTCTGCAAGGAAATTCAAATAAAACTCGGGCTTAATATCACGGGCCATGTCTAGTCTGGGAAACACAGGCATCAGCTGCATTAAATTAACAGGGTTTTAGCAAGTGGCACTATTTTGTATTCTGCCCAGTGTTGCAAACGAAGCAGAGATTTCGTTGAATGTGTCTGTGTATGGGTGGTTTCCAAGTGCAGAAATAATTATTTCTAATAAGCAAGCTGCTAGAAATTATGTGAATTTAGCAATCTGTAGGAACACTGTGACCTGATATTCTTAACTTCAGTTGTTTTCAATACATAATCCATACCCTTATTTGTGGTGAGGTAACAACTGTAATAATTCATATTTCTTTTTATGTGTATTTTCATATCAGAGTATGTCCTCTGCTCAGGTAGGCATCAAATTTTGTAAACTGAAATCCTAGATAAGAAGCTTGGATTGATGTTAGAAGAAGGGTTTATTTAAAAAAAGCTTCTATGAACACCACATAACAATGATGATTGATGAGAGTCCTTGAAAAAAATCACTCAAGTTCCAAATAGATGTCTTAACAGAACAATCGTGCTTTGACTACATAACTATTTCTGCAAGAAATTTAGGGAAAAATGTGGTTTGTTTACAGTTTAATGAAAGGATTAATATAAAAATATCTATATAAACAAACAAGAATATTGGCTACCAGCTGATAGGTGTTCACCCAGGTTTTGTTAGTTGGGCTTTTTTATTTTCAATTTTCCGTTATTTCTAAATGCTCCAGCTATTGAACTGGAGCCAAAATAATAGCATATGATGATAGATGATGAACCATGTTTCATGAACAGTTACTATAAGTAAGAAATTTTAGCATGTATTTAATTTAGAAAGAAAATCTAACCGCCCTCCAAACAATAATAAAAAACCTCTACCAAGTTACGAGTTCATAATTGCAGGAGTATTGTGGTATTTAAACTGGCCTATGAATGTTAGTTTAAAAAAAAAATAAATAATGAAACTATGCTCTTTCTGACATAGGCAGAAGTGGGTTTTAAATTTTTTTTTATTGTTTTATTTTATTGCCATCTTGTGTGAATGAGAGCTTTGTGGTGTGCAGCTGCTGCAGTGCCTCAGTCTCAGGGCCATGTCCAAGGGTGGCTCAGGCTGCCTCCCAGAGGAACCACTGCAGAGCAAGGCTGTGCAATGGCATCCTGGAGCCTTGGCTCTGGGCACAGGGATTTCCCTTTCCTGACCATAATAGGAAATGGCACAAAACAGCCTCGGCACAGCCTGAGCACTTTATATGGTATTCAGCAAACAGGGAGAGAGCCTCCAGCAGCCAGGGGCAGGTTGGGTGCTCCATGCTGGGCAGCAGCACATCTGGGGTGCTCTGGGGGGACACAGGGACCTCCACCAATATTTCACGTGGTGACTGGGTCACCACAGTCTCAAGTCAGATAACAAAAAAATCAAGCTCAGGATCCTCACCTCAGTATCCCCCAGCTAAACCCCTTCATGTGCAAGGTAGATAATGACTGTGCTGGATTTTCATTGATGTGGGAGTTCAGAATGAAACTGTGCTGCTCATGTCAAAATGAACTGTAGTGTTGCCAGGATAATACACTTGAAAAGTGACAGTTTTATCCTAGAATGACCACAAAGGCCTTTATGGAAAGGATAGCAACACCTTTTTTTTTTTAGTAGAAATAGATTAACTGAATGCACTCAACTAATCATTCCCAACCAAGTAAATTAATAGGAGAGTAAATTTCTAATCCAGGAAATTATTTAGGCCTCCCTTCCCTGAGATTTTCAGGCATTTCCTGACATGCCACGTGTAGGGCTGTTTGCACACCCAGGCATACAGTAACATACCCTTGAAGAGCTAATTTGGAGACACAAGCAGCAGGCTATTAAGGCAGAGAGCAAAAGCTGGAGCTGATGAAGTTCAGGAATCCTTGTTTCTAACTGCTCTCACCTTAGGAAAGTTAACCAAGACCTCAGCCTATCCAGAGAGGAGAAACCCCCCTCTCCCTAGAGGGTTTGGAGGCAGAACAGGATTTGAAGTATCTTAAGGATACTTCCATAGGAGTGTTGAGCTTGTGTGTCCCCCAGACAGCTACTGCTGATGGGCATTCACAGGAGACTGGCACAAATACACGTATCTGCCTTGTAAACATCTAGGTTTGGGTAGAAGAATCCAGCCCCAGTTCCAACATGCACAGGTAGTTTTATATATTTAAGACAGCATTTTTCACTGTTTAGTGAAGACTGAACAAGTAGTGCCTATGAATACAGCCACAAGGAACCTGATTCTACTCTCAGATCCACTGAAGTTGCATTGCTGTTTTATTCATGTTTATATAATAATTTGTGGTCTAATTTGTGTGTAAATCAGGCAGATTCTTTTTGTTTTGAGCAATGTGAAACATGAGTAGTGGCAAAACATTTCTTGCCCTTCTATCTTAATTATCTGTGATGAAGGAAAAGGCCAGGGTGTTTTTCTAGTGCACAGTCACTCTGTGAATTTCTGCCCTGAATATTTTTGGTTTATAATATTTAATACAAATGCAAGGGGAAGATGATTTGATTTTTTTTTTTTTTTTTTTTTAATCTAGGTTGATTTTTTTCTTTAGCAGAATTGGGAATCCCCATTTACGTCAGTGATGCTCTAAAGAGAAAAATGTTGAGGTCACATTTGCTTTGTATGTGTGGGACTCCAAGAGGACACAAATTAAGCAACACAGGGCAAAGCCAGGAGATGATTGTGATTGTTTACAGTTAGGGTGGCAAGTGGATGAGACTCAAATTGTCTTTAGATGCCCCCTCTTTTTTTAAAAAGTATGACAGTATCTAGTAGGGCAGCACTGTGTAAAGCTGGACAGTTTCAAGCAGGTTTTGGATACTGAAAATACCAATAACTTTTTGCAATACAAGTCAAAATAATTTCTTTGAAACTATTAATTTACCATTATTTAAAAATCTAGTCACTTTAGAAACAAAACTTAATTTCAGATACACTTCCATTTTTGTCCTTGTGAAA